ATTTTTGTATATAGACAAGAGATATACACAAGAGGCACTGCTTAATTTCATCATATGCTTTATAAATTATGTACATAGTTCATACATCTGTAGAGATGCTGTTCATAATAAAATTATATTTACTTGTATTTTTAAAAAAATTTTAATATATTACGATTATTAAAACGTAAATGAAAAGAATTTTCTAAGAATGTTGTACATATGCGTGGTTTTTGGTGGAAATATGGCTATTAATGTCCACTTTTATGGAAAATTTATTTTATTGTCATAATCCAAATTTTGTTTTGTTTTCTTATAAAAGCCAAAAACAAAGAATATTGTCTATTATTTTTTTTTGTATGTAGTAGGTAACTGAAATGATCTTAGATATTTTGATTGCTTTTTTTTGCAATATTTGCGCAATATCTTTTATATAACGCAATATTAAATATTATGTATTAGATTTAAAATACCGCGTAAGGACGACCTTAAAAAAATTTCAATTAAGAATTTCTTTAAAGTATTACAAATTATTGAATGAAACTTATTCTGCTTCTTTATCTTGTGGCAGAATTGCCTGTTTTATCCAATATTCTCTTTTATGGACTTTGTTACTCTTGGGATGTTGAGGTCTAGCATTCGTGCCACCTTTCAGGCATTCTCCCCTGTGGTCTTCAGTATCGAATGAAACTTAAAAGCAAATATTTATCTAACTTATATTAATTTTTAACTTACAAGAGAAAAATTCCCTTTTTGCAAGAGGCGCTCAATTTGTGCCACTATAAATACACCATCAAAAGATATATACTACTACACTTGATAAAATATTTTTGAAAAATTCAAAAGTTGGTTGAATATTTTTTTTGAGAACCTCCAATAAATTTTTCACATAATGTCACTAAATATTTTACTAACTGGCGGATAAGGTATCAAGCCATTTATTTTATAATATAGAAGCATTCATATATTAAATTTACAAAATTAAATAATAAACATTTGCTGAATGCATGCCCATACACCCTCACCCTCCATACAAAATGATAACAAATAAAACAAATTGATTTATCTTTGATTCCTCATGCTAGATGTTGTTTATTAGAAATAAAAGTTAAAAAATATTACTATTTTCAATATGTTACTGCTTGGATTCATTATATTTTTTTATATACATATGTATTAGATTTGTGATTTGAAGACCTCAAATTCACCTCTTGTACATTAAATGTAAAAATTAACCATAATTTAGTGATGAATATGATTATTTCTCGTTAAAATTTTATGACCATATCAAGTCTCCTATTAATATTAAAATCATCGTATAATTGTGGACACAAGTGAAAAATATTTAAAATACACAATTAATTTATGGCAATAAATTTAATTTTTAAAAAAAATATTGAAATTATTTTAGGCGCCATTTTCCTGTTTTCTTTTACATAAGAGAAATGTCAAATAAGACAACAATTTTGATTTCTAAAATAACATTTTTCCTTCCTTTTTCTTATTGCTTTTTTGATTTTTTATGAAATTTCAAAAAGAAAAAATCACGACACTATTTTCTTTAATTTTAAAATTCTATGGGTTCTATATTATTCTTAATTACATAAAAATATTTTCAATAATACCAGAAAGAGAGGGGGCGACTGAATGGTTATGAGAGAGTCAAAAAACAAAATATTTTGCATTTATATGAAGATATTTTATAAGTGTACCTATAAGCAAGTATGTATACATATTTGTCGCGACAATTTTAAGAAAAATTTGAATTTATGCCAAGGATTATCTTTTGCCAAAATACTAATCTAACCCAGCCCCCAAGAAAATAACAAATATGTATATTTATGTATAAATGTATGTATGGTTAGATTTTTTTTTTTTTTTGTTAAATTAATTTTTTTTCTTAAATTTATATACACAGGTGGTTTTTTTTTGTTAATGTCGCGATTATTTTGTTTTCTTAATACATACACAATTTCAATCTTCTTCACATACACATATATTGGATCATAACTGTTATATCGTTTACTTCTACATTTTTAATATTTATACATTTATTTTAAAAAATATACATACATATACATAGTTCGATATTAAGTAAGATATACATATCAATGCACAATTATGTTTAACGGTATTTTTTGTAGATTTTAGATACCTACATTTAGTACAGCTAAGTATTTTCCTACATAGAAACTAATATACTACAAACATGTTTTTCTTATTGACTATATTAACTATAGAGGATAACAATGTGTCAAAATTGAGGAAAAAGTAACAAAAAAAAATTTTTTGGAATAAAATTTCTTCAAGAACAAAATTGTTTCTTCTAAAATAACCTTGGAAATTTTTTATTAATTTTACATAGCTTTTAAATTCTTGCTTAACTCTAACGAAAATTATAATTATTTTCAAGAAAATTTATAGAATTATTCTAAATATCTCAAACAAAAAATTTTCGAACTTGTGTATGTACCAATATCGTATTTTTGGTTGACATTACAATAGTAAAATATTAGTCTAATTCCCAAGAAGTGGGATCGATTTTAACTTCTATTTGTAATTCTTATTTTAAAATTTTCTTATTTTTCTTCAAATCTCACTATCAAATGCAATTTAACTTAATTCTAGTACGTTATTAATAATTAATTATTTATTATGGTTGGTTGGCAGACGTGACTAATGTAGCAAGTCTACCGCACCCCATTTAGCAAAAATGTGCCGTTTCGCAACTTGTCGTTTCGTTAAATATTTTAATTCAGTATATTAACATTTAATATGTATGCTATTTGATCATTTGTGCACAATCTAGTATTTTCTAATACAATAAGTCGTTTTGAACGTAAAAACAAAAAATCGATAAAAATTTATTTCTATATTACGGGGGTTTGTTTATGTATACATACATACTAATATAGACTTGTGCAAATTTTATGTATCTATATAATATATGTATACACGTGGACTTGTGTTTTTAAAGTATTTTATAAGAATATGTACACAATCATTGTAAAAAGTACGTACATACATCAACACAACTATATGATAAATCAATGACGTAAATGAACAAAATTAATTAAAATATTTTTTTGGCACAAAATTTACTATACCGAATTTGGGAAATTTTTATGCACATTCCTAAAATATTGATTTGAAAAAAAAAACGACATTATTGAAAAAACAATTAAAGTGGGGCTTGTTACAAAGTTTGCAGTAAATTTTAAATATCGCCTTTCTTAATTTTATCCCAAACTGAATTTTTGTATTTCAATATATTTTACCTTTACTTTTTGACCATATATTTGACATTTTACTTTTGGTCTTATCGTAATTAAGTAACCAATTAATCAACTCAATCGTGAAATGTCACAAGTAGTGCTTAGAACAATACTGTGTATATACCCAAAAAAATTCAGTTTATTGACAAAATCGTCACCCTTACATCATAACAAAAATTATCAATTCTTTAATTTTTTCTCAGAAATCAGCATAACTTATCTTTCATACATAGCCACATTATGTACATATGCACGTACATAATTCTATTTTAATTAAAAATAATGATCCGCACATTACGGGAATCCAAAATTGTAATTTAACATAATTTATTTTCGTTTATCCAAGTATCCAATTTTCCACAGACGTAAACTATACGATAATGTACATAATGATCTGCATGTACGTAATAAGTTGATATTTAATATTTAATCAATGAATTTAGGAAAAAAGAACCTCAAATAATAATTAATTTTAATTAATTTGATTAATAATTATAATAAATTACGATAACAATTTTAAATTTTATTATATAGGCTTTACTTACTTTATGAACATTACATACGTTAGCTCTTCATTCAATATTATGATTATTACATGTTAGGTCATAAATTAATATAATTAGGGAAAATGATGACAGACCATTAAATTTTATACTCGTATAGATATTAGGAATTTGATAGATAAATCATTTCATTCGATAAAAGTTACGTTATCACTTATACTTACTGATTATTTACATTTCAATATTATCATCTCCAAACATGAATTATTCCTAAACATCTATGTATGTAAATTATGTATGTATATGCATAAATTTTAACCCATGGAACGTTCTGTGTTAGGGGTAGTTAAAAAGATTTAATAATAATTAAATACAAATCTTTTTTAAAACGATCTCCTTTCAATCACTTAAGATTTCCTTTAATATTACTCTGCCTCATTATTGATGAAATTAAATATGGCAATTGAAATGAGGATGCCGGCCAATTCTTTTATTAAGTGTTTATATTTCCAATTAAAAAAATCCAAATTTTGTTAAGCTATGTTACAATCAGTCCTGCCAATAGGTGGGAAAATTTCCATTGTTTAGGTACTTTGCGGAACCAAGTCGAGAAATTGAGAAATTTTCGGGAAAATGCTATTTTGAATTTCTTAAATTTTTAGTATAAAATCATAAAAAATATTTAAAAAACCAAAATCCTTAAAGCACATTTCATCTGTGCTTTAAGAAATGCAAAAGTAGTCTGTCAAATTTATGTTTAATAATACTAATGATATTTTGACAATAACTTTGAAACGTACTTATTACAAGATTGAAGCTTAATACAGTACCATCTATTGAGAAATGAAATTCTATAAAATACTTATAACTTTTAAAATAAATTTTCATAATTATTACTTTCGAAACACAGAATAATTGTTTTTACTGTATAGTATCTAGACTCTGCATTCCTATTTGAGATTAGTTCATTTAGAAGATCCTTCAAGAGCCTTATGTTTTCATTTTACGAGTACTAGTACATGATTAAAAAAAGCGAGAAAGGGAAATTCATATTTTTTCTAACGTACTATAGCAGGCTGTGAGTAATTGGCGATCTATCAGGAAATTTTAGGTGCTGGTAGCATAGATTATAAAAATTTCCTCATAAAAATCACATTCATGCACTTATTCAGGAAGACATGCACTTATTCTTAAGATTCTTGTTTATTATATATTTTATTAATTCATTAAAATTTTATTTTAGATGCACCCAATGATGTTATGTACATGGTTTGTGGTGTCGTTATTGCCATGCTATTGGTCGGACTTATTATTATCTTAGTTGCTGTCACAATTAAGTAAGTAAAAATTTATTTCCCCCTTTAAATGATTCAAAATTTTAATTAAATTTTGAAATTTTTAATTGCATTTTTAATATTAATGAAAAATGATTTTTTAAATAAATAAATAAATAATTAAGTATAATTAAAATTTTATTATTAGTAAAAAATTTTTTTTAAAATTCAATTAATTAAAATTATGATTTTATTTGAATAAAAAAAAAAAATTGATATTGAAATTGGTAAAAATTAATTGATTTTATATCAAAAAAAAAATTAATTTAATTGAATAAAATAAATGTGAGAATATCTACATCTACATATATATTAATAAAAATAAATAGAAAACCTATAGATAAAAATTTGGCACTTAGATATAAAAATCATACGATTTTGAATATTATTTTGCTGTTGTTGTTGTTGTTATTGTGAGAATGAGCTCAATATGTTCTAAACTAATTTATAACAAAAGGCTAAATAGAAAAAGTATAAGAATGAATATATGGGTGCATATGTATGTATGTATGAATTCAATATTATGTGTATATAATAAAATGAAAATTAGTTTCTTAATGTTATACCGCCACTGTATATTAATGACATTGTAAAATATTTTAAGAAAAAATTACATAAAAGAAATTGAAATTTTTTTTTTTAATTGTGCATTTCTTGAGTGTAGGCGATGACGATTTTTTTTTTTTTTTGAAGAGCAATGAACCTTACTCAATATCCATAAATTTCATTTTAATTTTTAAATTTTACTGAATCGTTGTCGGAATAGTATGTAAATGTAGGTACATAGTTGCATTGCGTTTCATTAATTAATTTTTTTTCGAATTGCGAATACGTAAAAACTACTACATTAGCTATAATGAAAATAAATTTTTTGCTAAATTTAATTTGTATTTAATTTTGCAACAAATTTTATATTATTCTACAAATTTTAAAACGATTCACGTAAATAAACCGAAGTGGAGAAATTTTCCTTCGGCAAATTCTAGAACTTCTAGCATATTAAATGTTATAAGAAGAATCATCTATTCTTTCTAGTTTCTATTCCTTAATTTTAGTCCAGCAATTTGCAAAATTATTTTGTTCAATTAATAATTTAATATTCATTTACATAGAAACTCTTTGATGGAATTTTTCATTTATAATAAATAAATTCTAAATTATCTAATAAATATATGTACCTTTATACACAATACTCATTATCATAAAATAATCCCTGAAATTCAAGTGTTCTAAAATAATTAATATCATTTTTGATAATAATTATGCCGTAATAATTCACGCGAGTATAATTTAACGTTGAATGAACTTTAATATTATAATCGTTATATTAATTATTTTGATAAAAAAAGAAAAAAACTTTTTGAAGGACAAATTAATTATAATGCATAATATTTTGGGTGAGACTCTAATGATTTGCCTCCTATAATCTAACTTTGTAAGAGTAAACGCGGCGACGGATCTATCACATACACAAAGTAAGCATTTCCAAAGGGCGACATCGAAACAATATAAAAAGAAAAATAATTTTAAAAATTAATGTTATTCCCAACTTTTTCCAGTATACGTGCATTACAAAACAAAAAGCTGAAATTTTAATTTCAAGCTTTATTTTTATAACTAATCTTGCACTCAGTGTGATAAAGTCGCAAGAAAGTAACTTATTATGCGCAATGTGCAATATTTATTGTATATTATTCATTCTTGAAAAGCGGTTGATGGGAACGGAGAGAAGGGAGGGAAAGAGATGCACGTGCCACAAACCATTCAGGGCGCCGAACAAGTGAGAACCGAGCATGGATATAAGTATTGTTAATTTATCCAAATAAAAAGAATCCATTATCAGTGCTCAATTATTATATGAATGTAATCATGACCTTAGCAACATTATAATTTGAACCCATAAACTATATTATAAAAGAAATTAACAATAAATTATAATAAAAATTCATCAAATTAGAATAGTATTCCCGAATTATGAATATTACTATTGTGTATATACATAAGTACATACTGTGGATATTGTGCTAAAAAAAAACCTTTGCAGTATAGTTTATTTTTAGTTAACGGCAATTTATGATGGTCAGGATAAATTATAATGTGTGTGTAAGGATCAATTTTGAATGTGAATTTATGAAATATAATTTTATTTTTAGAGAATGTCAAGTTTATTTATTTTGGAATTATTATTATTCATTAAATAATTTATAAACATTAATTAAATAATTTTGTGAATGAAATTATAAAATTTTTGATAATTATCATAGTTATTCCTTTCTTTTACATATAGGTATAAGATATAAGCCTAGGTACAAGAAGGGTCAAGTGCTGATTAAATAATTATTAACTAAATATTCTTTGAAATTTTGATTCATAATTATTTATAAATTTCATTTTAAAAAGAAATTTCCTGCAAATAAATGGTATTAGGTGAATGCTGCTCATAAGAATACTTTAGTACTGATATTCCTTAATTTAACTGTAAAAATTAAAATTATAACTATAAAATCTTCTAAAACAAGAATTTTCATTTAAAAGGGCCTTTACAAAAAAGATCAACAAATTAATTTTATAATGCAATAATTCCCAACAATTCATTTTATAATATGCAAATAAAACTACTATGCCAAACAATTCTTAATTTGTTACTCAAATGTCGTGCCAATATCTATAAAGCTGCTGTGCAAAATTGGTATACCCCAATTTTTCTTGTTTTCTACCATCTTCTAATTAACATGAACTCGAGATTTTAATACTTAGATTTTGACGGGACTGTCTTCTTATTTACATTCTGAAAGCCAGCATTTCTGAATGAATTTATTCAATTCATATATACTCAAAAAAAATTCTTCCTTCAACTTCATTCTCTTCTCATATTATTCAACTCATTAATGAAAATTATCAAAAATTGTACCATCATTCTATAACAATTTTTAATATACGAGAGCGATTGATTGTGTCAATTTGATTTATTAGTTTATACAATGATATTTTTATACGAGTATAACACCTTATATATTATAAGCTGACTTTGTATAATTTATGATTTCAAAATTGCATGTAATTGAATAGAACATTGTTTTAGTTTTCATTAAATATGTTAAGCAGGTTAAACTTCAATTGCAATAATTTATAATAAATGATAAGATAAAATATTTTATTGCAAGGTTTATTTTTAATAACGCATAATCTATGGAATGTGTACCTGTATTCAATTTTATCTTGTTCTCTATAATAAGGCTCTATTGTAATGAATTAAATTTATTGTTAAAAGTTAGAAATTATTGTGAAAGAAATTTAAAAAGCCCACTTGATATTAAAACCATATATTTAAAAATAGAAAAAAAAAAACCATAATATAAATTTATAATTGCAAAGAAAATTTGCCCAAGTTCAATTTGACAAGTTATCCAGTTGTACAATATGGAAAATAGAATATGTGCAATAAAAATCAATATACGAGTACATGTATATGTATTAAGCTTAAATTGAATATAAATCTGCAGTTACAACTTCGCTGGATTTACTTAAAACACAACTTTTAAACTCAATTAACAAATATTTTCTTAAAAGAATGTGGCTTATTCCGAAAAGAGTAAATACAAATAAATTCATACAAAATGATTTGCAATTGCAATTAAATTTTCAAAATTTTTATATGATCAATATCAGACTATCACCGAGGGAGTTGGGTTTCAGACCAACATTCCATAATAAAACTAATATGCCTTTTCTAGATCTCCTCATATCGTTCAATTTAAAATTCAACAAAATTTGTGCTTTAATATTAAATTTTCAATACCATATTAATCCTTTTACTAAAATCTTCAAAATACTGAAAATTTCAGTAATTTCATGTGCTTTGTTATCAGGTTGTAATTTAAGTGATACAAGCTAAAATTTATTTTAAAAAATTTTTATTGTTTATAAATTTCTGATTTTTCTTTGGTTTTTTGCATTTCAGTATAGTTTCCAGTATTTTCGTTCATTGTCAATGCCAAAGTCATAAAAATTTCATGAATTAAAGCAAAAAAAAAAGGTAACATTACAGATAGCTAAAAAAAATAAAGTCTCCAATAAATTATTGTGTTAGAAGAGAAAAAAAAATTTACTTTAGTTTTTTTTTATTAACTGGACTGAAGCCAAGGACATATCGATTTATCGATTTGAGCAATAATAATTTATTTACAAAAAAATTTATGCAGAATGTTTCAAAAACCCTCAATATATGTATGTATGCCGTTTGTATGAATAGTTTGAGTGTATGATTTTTTATTCATATAACTTTAAGCGGGTGTGGGATAAGTATTTGTTCACATTTTATTATCTTGCCCCGAATGCGTTAGAAAATATATGTGTATAAATGTGTATGCATATTACACACATTATGCAAAATTCTTATTAGAAAATTTTTTCAAAATATCATAAAATATCGAATGATTTTAAAAATGAGGCAGACATATCGTATTTTGCTCTAAAATAAATAAACAAAAGTAGTTTAATTTGAATTATTTTGAAAGTATAAAAATTTAGTCTTTCGTTTATAATATATGACTAGGTATTTACGGTATGTACATGAGTATGTATTATTGGAACAATAAAAACGAATATCTATTTAAGATATTCACTAGAATCACAAATCATCATTTCCTCAATATAGTACTTTAAGCCCAATTCCGATGTGGTTTCGGAAATTTTTGTTACTGCCAAAAATATTCGAGTTTTCGCAGAAGTTTTGCCAGTAAGAACCTATTTCAATACGATTTTGTTTAACAATGAAAACAAAAGCAGATTTAACCAGATTTATTGGAAGTCGATATATTCGTAGGCAGTACGCTTTATTTTAACAGTTATTTTTCATATATAGCACATACAATATGTACATACTTATATATGTGACTACATTTGATATGCATAAATTCTCGCATACATTTATATTATATACATTCATACATATGCGTATATACAATATATTTGCATTCATCCATAAATTATTTGTATAACAT